AAAAAAAAAAAAAAAAAAAAACACAAAAGAGAAATTACTGCCTTTGGTGTGCTCATCAGTAGACTGGACATGGCTAAAGAATCAGTAAGTTTGAAGACAGGTCAATAGAAACTTCCCAAACTGAAATGACAGGAGGAAAGAAACTTTTTTAATGTACAGAACACCCAAGAACTTTGGGGCAATTCCAAAAGGTACAACATACATGAACAGCTGAGCCCTGAACAATGCTGAGGTAAAGGGTGCCAATGCCCCTGTGCAATCAAAAGTCCATGCATAACTTTTTGACTTCCCAAAAACTTACTCCTAAAGCCTACTGTTGACTAGAAGCCTTACTGATAATATGAAGTCTATTAACACATATTTTGTACATACTGTATTCTTACAATAAAATAAGCTGGAGGAAGGAAAATGTTTTTCAAATTGTCAAAAATCTCCAAAATATTTTCCAATACATGTATTGAAAAAAATACACGTATAAGTGGTCCCATGGAGTTCAAACCTGTATTGTTCAAGAGTCAACTATAATTAGAATACCAGAAGGAAAAGAAGGGAGAAGTATTTTAAGTAATAATAGTTATTAAGAACTTTACAAAATTTATGGTGGACACCAAATCAGGAAGCTCAGAACACCAGGCAAAATAAAGACTAAAAATCTATACACAGGCCATCATATTAAATAAAAAGACAAAAAGAAGAGCTTAAAAAAATCAGATGGAAAAAACACCTTTAGCTATGGAGCAATAATGTTAAGAACTTCAGTGAACTTCTCATCAGAAATAAAATGAGCAAGAAGATAGCAGAGTAAAATATTTAAAATCTTAGAGGAAAACATCCACCAACCTACAATCTCTATCTAGTGTTACTATCCTTCAAAAGTAAAGGAAAAAAGACTTTCTCAGGCAAACAAAACCTGAGAAATTCACAGACCAGAAACTTACCTGCAAGACATATTAAAAGAAGTTCTTCAGGGAGAAGTGCACTGATACAGGTCAAAACTCCCATATACATAAAGGAAGAAGGAATTAAAGATGGAATAAATGAAGCAAAAATTACATTTTTTATTATTCTTATTCTTGCTGTATTAAAAAGTACCAACTTAACATATGGGGTGATTACAGCATATGAATAAACAAAATGAATGGTAACAATGTCACCAGAGAAGGATGGAAGGAATTGGGAATACTTTGTTATTTGGTACCCCCACACTGTACATAAAGTGGGATCTCATTATTTGAAGGTGGACTTTGATTAGTTAAAAATGTATGTTGTATTATTTTTTGGATATGACAACAAAAGCACAGGCAACAAAAGGAAAAATGAGCAAATGGGACCACATCAAACTAAAAAGCTTCTAAACAGCAATGAAAACCATCAAATTAAAAAGGAAACCTACAGAATGGGAGAAAATATTCACAAACCATATAGCTGATATGGGTTGATTATCCAAAATCTGTAAGGAATTCATTAACTGAAGAGCAAGAAAAGCAAATAATCTGATCAAAAAATGGGCAGAGGACCTGTATAGACATTTTTCCAAAGAAGACACACAAATGGCCAACAGATACATGAAAAGGTGTTTGGCATCACTAATCACCAGGGGAATGTAAATCAAAACTACAATCACCTCATACCAGGTAGGATAGCCATTATCAAGAAGACAAGAGGTAAGTTTCAGAAGGGTGTGGAGAAAAGGTAACCCCTGTTTAATGCTGGTGGGAATGCAAATGGACATGGCCATTTTAGAAACAGTAAGAAGGCTCTTCTAAAAATGAAGACCAGAACTACTATATGATCCAGCAGTCCCACTCCTGAATATGTATTCAAAGGAAATGAAATCAGTATGTCAAAGAGGTATCTGCATACTGATGTTCATTACAGCATTATTCACAATAGCCAAGACATGAGACCATCTTAAGTGTCCATCAACAGATTAAGAGAATGTTGTATATGTAACACAATGGAATAGTATTCAGCCATGAAAAAAGAAGGAAATTCTACCCTTTGTGACAACATGGATGAATGCTGGATGCCAAGGGCTGGGAGGGTAGAAATCGGGAAGTGTTGATCAAAGGGTACAAGCTTTTCAGTTATGAGATGATGCAAGTTCTGGAGATCTAATGCAGGATAGTGATTACAGCTAGTAATACTGTACTGTACACTTGAAATTTGCCAAGACAGCAGATCTAAAAAAGTGTTCTCACCACAAAGAAAGAAATGATAACTATGTAAGGTGATAAGCACATGTCAATTAGCTTGACTGTAGTAATCATTTCACAATGTATACATACATCAAATCATCATATTGTACACTTTATATATAGGTTTTATTTGTCAATTATATGTCAGTAAGGCTGGGAGAAGAGTCAAAATGTATATTGCAAACTCTAGGGTGTTTAAAAACTTTAAGAAATATAACTGATATGCTAAGAGAAGAAAGTAATGGAATCATATAAAATGCTCAATTAAAACAAGAGAAGGCAGAAAAAGGGGAAAAAAGAAATGAAGAATAAATGAAACAAATAGAAAACTACAGTAACTCCTTCTTGGAGTTGTGCATGGTGGAAGCAATACAAAAGGAAAACATTAGGAAAAGGAACAACTATCCAGAATCAAACAAGGGAAAATACAAAAAGAAAAATGGCCATGTGTAGTAAGTAAAACAGGAAATAAATCAAAGTAGGGGAAAGCCATCAATCTTCTCTGCCAAATAACCTTATTTTTGCTCATGTACTTGAATATAAAGCCTAAAATACAAGAGACCAAATAAATAACCAGCTACAGAGGTACCATGACAACAAGGAGATTAAAAATAAACAAATAGAAAGAAAATGGAGATTGTCATAAACAGAGGAGTTTAGAATATTAATGAACAGCATTATTCTTGATAGTTACTGCTCAGTTTTATAACCCTAAATACATCTGACAGCTACACCTTTCATAGCCAGGTATTAAATAGAAAACTACCTCCTTTTTCAGTAAGGGGAAAAAAAGTCAGCCATCAAATCTGAATTAGTTGTAACTAGAAGCCTTAATCTCAAAAAAAATATATTTTCCTACATATTCAAAACTAAGTCTAAGATACAGATTTTCTTCCTTTCCTTAGTTTAAGAATGACTTTACTTTTAGCCTACACTAAATGAAGATTCATTATGAGGGTATCATGTTGAATACACACAATATATGGAAAAAGAACAAAACTGAAGTCTCCAGACAAGACTGTACCCCTTTTTCTTTAGTAATCATACAAACTGGACCCAGTTAACATAACTGCTCAAAAGTCTCAGTTCCAATTCTCAGAGAGTTGATAGCTCAGAGATTACAAATATGAAGGTGCTTTGAAAACTATAAACTGTCACATATATAATTATTAGAGAGATACAAATCAAAGGAACAGATAATAAATATCTGCACCATATACTAATATTCACCAGTCTGGGTGACTATCACTGTTAAATTATTTCCTTCTAGGAAGCCTGATGCCAACAGAAGAAAAAGATCAGATAACTGGGAATTTTACACTGTGGTCTTAGGGGAGCAGCATATTTTAATCTTCTGACCTGCCAATTGTCTAAGAGTTTCTCAGTAGTAAAACAAAATGGGATAAGAATGCTAAGACACTCAGTCAAGGTATAAATAGTATTTTGAGCATTCAGGGATTATTTTTCAACTGGTAAATTATTCCATATGAACGCTGTAAAGTTTTCTACTGTTGTTTAGAGCAAAACAAAAAAAAATGGAAGTTTCTTTAACCTTTTTCAATTGTGATTCCATTTTCACACACTCCTCCTTCTTCTGCTCCAAAGCAATCTCAAGGGTCTTGAGCCGGGAGTCCTTTTTCAGTCCTGAGGAAGCCAGGGAAGAAGCATGCTCTTTCAGGTCCAAGAGTGAAGCCTGAAAGAAGCAACAAGCATCTACAATAAATACTGACAATCCTCAAAATGGAGATTTAGAGTTTTTACTTTATTATCCTGGTGCCTTGTACTTTCTTTCCATTACCATGCACTGACATATTTTCCATTTCAAGAAATTTCACGATATATAGACATTATTAGCTTGAGCTTTCAAGTCCTAACTAAAGTAAGGTAAATTCCAAAGAAATACCAATTGAATAGTGATTTAAAGATTTCTATCAAAATAAGTGAAATGCAGAAATTCCCACAAAATAAATGAGATGTACATCAAGCTTTGTGAATGTAAGTAGTCAAACTTAGTAGCTACACTAGTGTGAAATATTAAGTATTTTTCAATTTTAGAAGAAAAATTTTGCTAGGAATTTAAATTTCCATGTTTTCCTAAAAATACTAGAAAAAAATCCGGAGAATGTCCCTAAAGTTCATACATATTACCTGATCACTTTAGGCATTTTTGCTACTTAGGTCACATTAACAAGATTCTCCAAAAGCATGACCAAGTATGTTAACTCATCTAATTGGTCAGCAATCATTTAAGATCTCTGCCAATGTTGAGGTGCAGTTAAAGAGCACCTTGAGTTGTAAATTAATTGTCCATAATTTGCATATTCCTTTCTCCTTTTCTCTAAATGTAACAGGGCTTCAATTATTCTAGAACTATAAAAAGATCATTAATAAGTAAAAAACCAACTCATAACACACTGAAAGAGGTAAGACAGGAAATTAATGATCCAATCTACTATGTCTCTGCAAATATTCTGAAACATCCCATAATATCTCCCAAAAGGCCTGCTGAAAGAATATCAGGGACATCTTCCATCAAGTATTTTTGCATACGCATTACATTAACACCAACATTATACACGCAATGCACAGACAAAGCAAACCAAGTAATTCTATTTGGGTGATCTTAACCTCTTTCTCAGAGAGGTCGCCTTGCAACAGGCTGACTTTTTCTTTCAAGTCTTTAAGATCTTTTTTGTAGTTATCAATTTCTTCTTGCTTCTCTCGCTCATCTCTGTCCCGCTGCTCCTTTAAGCGTTCAATGGTCCGCTCCTGATAAAAGAGCACATCGGTACATGAGGCAATCCCTTTCATACGCATATTCTATGACTGCAGTTCAGCCTTTAGGTGTAAATTTGACAGTTCTATCCTCTATTCAAAAGATGGTTATTAGATGTTAATTTACTTTTTAAAGAATTCACCTTTCCTACATATTTTCCTTTAACAAAGATCTGGCTTTGTTCTTCTGTTCCCCCTAGGTCTCTTTCCTATCATCTCTACTACTGTTAGGTAGCCAGAAAGCATGATTTTGGAATAATCCCATTTATTCAATTTCCAAGGAACCTTAAGGACAGTAAGTAACAAATATTTTTCCCTTATCTGTAATTTACATTTCCTACAAGTCAATAGAAATAACTCATAATTCACACACCTAAAAAGGGAACATTGGGGAGATTATAATATGCTGAGCTTAATGCATAAAGAGAAAAGAGAAACCATTAAAATTTTTATCTCTCAACAGATACTCAGGAAGTTTAAAACTTAAAGCAATTTAGGTACATTTCTGGGTACTATTTCTGAATATATTCAGGATCAAGCCTTGATCTCTGCCAGTTAGTCTGAAGCATTCTGCATCCAAGAGGCTTAAGGAACAGTGAACCTATTCCATTAAAAAAAAAAATCCAATTAAAATACCCTACCAAGACTTCTTAAACCTCCTTCCAAGACATTAACACTTGACATGTTGGGCCACTTCTTTATTTAGTCAACCATTTCTGAAAAACTAGGTTTGTCCATAAAGACAAAATGAAGTAGCAAGGCCAAGATCAGAAAACCAGCAAGTACACTGTATAAATAACTAAAATCCATGGACATATTAGGTACCAATGTGGTATAGTAAAGGAGAGCTAATTATACACTGCCTTGTGATGGTCAATGTCTGATATTCCTACAACCCCAAATTCTACTTGACCGTATAAATAAAAAGAACTTCTCCTTTACCATCAGAAGATGATAAATGGGGAACACATGGCTTTATTCTTTTGAAATTTCAGCTATTGCCCACTAGTGTGCAATCCATCTTATCTAGTACCAGATGCTTAAACAGGTAAAAATGAAATGGATTTTCTTTCCCCTTATACTATGCATGTCAGCAACAGTACAGACAGCTCTTTTCCCTTTTACCAAAAGGGATTTCTTCTGTGTTCTAGACCCAAGTCTCATAAATAGAGGAAACTATAGATTCAGAAGAGAGCAGGTATACATGGCGAGCCTGGCCGCGCCACTCACTTTCTCTGCGAGGGCTTCCTCCAAAGTTGTCAAGGCAGTATCAGTGTTGGTGGTATCGGCCTGCAGGGATTTGACTCGTTCTTTCAAACTGCTCATCTGTTTTTCCTTATCTCTAAGTTGCTCTTGAAGATTTTCAATCTGAGTGTATACAATTAAGGAGTAAAAAGGAAATTAAAAGAAATAAAAACTTTCACAAGAAAAAAATCATGTTGAGTTGGAAACAGGTGGATTAGTACTGTGTGTATATTCTGAAGAAATAATTGAATCCTAAGTGTTTCAGAATTGCATGCAAAACTTCAAACCCAGAATTTATGCCAGATCAGAGAAAAGACACACAGATGGGTATGTCATACACACATATACATAAACCTATAAAGAAATAAGTAGCGAGGGGTGCAGCCAAGATGGCGGTGTGAGTAGGACAGTGGGAATCTCCTCACAAAAACATACATATTTTTGAAAATACAACAAATACAACTATCCCTAAAAGAGAGACCAGAAGACATAGGACAACAGCCAGACTACATCCACACCTACAAGAACCCAGCACCTGGGGAAAGGGGTAAGATACAAGCCGCAGCCCGGGGGGACCCAAGGCCCCTTACCCCAGCTCCCGGTGGGAGGAGAGGAGTCAGAGCGGGGAGGGAGAGGGAGCCCAGGACTGCTTAACACCCAGCCTTAGCCATCCGCACCAGAGTACAGACACACAGTGCACACGTGGAGTGCTGGAAACTAGGGAAGCAGGACAATAAGACCTGTGAGCGGGTCCCGCAGCCAGCACCCCTGGGACAAAGAAAAGCGAGTGCTTTTTGAAAGTTTTAAAGGGACAGGGACCCCACAGCTGGACGGAAGCATCCTGGGTCACAGTCCAGCAGCTGAAATTACAGGAAACTCCAGGCGCACTAACCCCCTGGGCAACAGCTCTGAGACCCCTCAAGGAGGTAAACAGCCCAACAGCCGGTCCATTATGTCTCCGGGGCCCCGCCATAGCAGAGCAGCAGCCTGAGGCTGGCCACACCCACCGCAAGGGAGCTTCCTCCATACACGCAGGGCAAGATACAGAGAACCAATCTACACGCAATTGCCCAACACAAGCCACTAGGGGTCGCAGTTGTCGCAGTAAAGAAAGGCCATGAGCAAGTAGAGAGTCTTGACTCTTCCAGCTGACAGATGAGTCAATAGCATACCACTGCACCTATCAACATTAAAAGGCAAAAAAAATTGATCCAGACAAGATTAACCCAGAGAGCTTCGACATCTTCTACATCTTCCCCCTGAGAAGGAACCTGGGGAGATAGATTTAACCAATCTTCCTGAAAAAGAATTCAAAACAAAAGTCATAACCATGCTGATGGACTTGCACAGAAATATGCAAGTACTAAGGAGGGAGAATACAGAAATAAAACAATCCCTGGAAGGACTTCAAAGCAGAATGGATGAGATGCAAGAGACCATTAATGGACTAGAAAAGAAAGAACAGGAATGCAGAGAAGCTGATGCAGAGAGAGATAAAAGGATCTCCAGGAATGAAAGAATTTTAAGAGAACTGTGTGACCAATTGAAAGGAACAATATCGGCATTATAGGGGTACCAGAAGAAGAAGAGAGAGAAAAAGGGATAGAAAGTGTCTTTGAAGAAATAATTGCTGAAAACTTCCCCAAACAACGGGAGGAAATGGCCTCTAAGACTACAGAGGTACACAGAACTCCCATGACAAGGGATCCAAGAAGGGCAACACCAAGACACACAATAATTAAAATGGCAAAGATCAAAGACAAGGACAAAGTATTAAAGGCAGCCATGGAGAAAAAAAAGGTCACCTACAAAGGAAAACCAATCAGGCTATCATCAGACTTCTCAACAGAAACCTTACAGGCCAGAAGAGAATGGCATGAAATACTTAATGCAATGAAACAGAAGGGCCTTGACACAAGGATACTGTATCCAGCACGACTATCATTTAAATATGATGGCGGGATTAAACAATTCCCAGACAAGCAAAAGTTGAGGGAATTTGCCTCCCACAAACCACCTTTATAGGGACTGCTCTAGATGAGAGCACTCCTAAAAAGAGCACAGAACAAAATACCCAACATATGAAGAAGAGACGAGGAGGAATAAGAAGGGAGAGAAATAAAGAATCATCAAACCGTGTTTATAATAGCTCAATAAGCGAGTTAAGTTAGACAGTAAGATAGTAAAGAAGCTAACCATGAACCTTTGGTAACCACAAACTTAAAGCCTGCAATGGCAATAAGTACATACCTTTCAATAATCACCCTAAATGTAAATGGACTGAATGCACCAATCAAAAGACACAGAGTAATAGAATGGATAAAAAAGCAAAACCCATCCATATGCTGCTTACAAGAGACTCACCT